TGACTCTTTCAAAATGAGTCCTTACAGGGAGAAGGTTAACAATTTCCAGCCCAAGACTTCAGGTCCTTGCTAGTCTGCTGTCTTTGGACTGACTTCTCTTCCCAGGCCAGTCCACAAATAGCTCTCCTTGATCTGGCACAAAGAGGACACCTCCACCTGGGATCCTGTCACCCTGAACTCTTCAAGAAAACACTTCACCCAGACCTAATTCAGATCTGGACCCATTCACAATATTTGCTAACCCTGGGCTTTACTCATCACGCTGTTTTCAGCAGATCAGCTCACCTACATAGATCTGGGTAGGACTGGCTTTTGGAAAAGACGAGTCCAGCAGCTTCTCTACATTGCATCACACCATAAGCAGTTCTGATCTATGTGGAATTTCCAGGGAAATATAATACAGAACACTAGAGGAAAACATCTATTTGCCTCTCCCCACCTTCTCTTCCTCATGTTTTCTGATCCTGCTTTAAGCCTGAGGCAGTGAGAAAGAGCACAGTGAGTTTTCATTTTCTTACATTAGGGAAATCATCATCCACTGCTGTTATCATCAGGGGGCTTGAAGGATCACCAGCTTGGAAGACAAAGCTTCTCGGGGCCAGACCAACAAACACTGTCCCATTGTAGATCGGGTTCTCAAAGTATGGCGGATAATCACTTTTATTGATGGCCTTAATCTCTACAGTAACTACGGCGTATTTCTGTATGTTGTTCACCTGAGAGGCCTGGAGAGAAAAAGAGAGAGATATGCTAGCTTTCTCCTATCAGTGATGAGACACAAAAGGATAGGCTTGATCTGAAACCCATTGCAACCCGTGGGATTCTTTCCATCATTTTCAGTGAGCTTTGAACTAGGCCTGTCACACATGGTTTGGAGTCCTTGTGTTTTAGCTTGCTGCTGCTGTTGGCCCTCCACACAGTCTTGATCTAGCCCTGAAGTCTGGATATGACCCTCCATAAGGGCCACGTCTGGACAAATTGCCATGCTGTAGTACAAAGCAGTGAGATCCAGCTCCAGCAGGCAATCTGCTCATCATCATAGAGTTTGGGTCAGTTCAGTTATTGCCTGAGAGTCCACATCTTCTTGAGTATGTATGCGCAAGGAGCGCTTTTCAACTGCCTCCTTTCCTCTTGAGCTGTAGCCAAAAGAGGAGCTTGTCTTTAGAGTTGAGTCATGTTAACTGCCGTAACACAAGCTTCAGTCATGCCTAAAGACACCCTTTCGGTTGTGCTCCTCCATGCCTTCAACTCAGCAGGATGTCCCCATCCCATTAACTTGCTTTGATGTCGCAACCCACACACAAACGAAAACCCTCTTAACTCCTGCAAGAGCTTTGCATGTAAGTTGGTATGAAACACTGGTCAAATACTAGGCCCTTCCAAAAGGAAGCGTGTAACTGAGTTAGCTTGAATTATTAATGTAATTCACTCCTGTCACATCGAGACTGCTGCTTCCTAGAAAGCCAGTTATGCTGGGTTGTTATTTGCAATATCATCAGACTTACCATGACTTGCAAGAGATACGGCTCTGTGGAAGTTACTACTTTGTTCATAGTTAGATTCCCGGTGTCTGCATCCACTGAGAATACATTGTCTGTATCGCCTAAAGAAAATGGAAAGACTATTCAATCATCAGATGATACCTTCATAAAGTGACCTGGAACTCATTGACTCATTTTTTCACACATTAGCGACAACACCCCCAGGGCATAACATGGTTTTCCTTGTGTGCCTGGCTGCTCCAAGGGCTAGGAGTGCTGTCCAGGGATTCAGAGGAACTCAACAGAAAAAGCATCAAGAAGACGTGTGTGAACCCAACTAGATGAGGTAGGACAGTAAAGCTTTGCATTTCCAGCACCTATGCCCAGACATAGTCAACTTAAATTCTGCTAAATGCCTAGAGCTTAGAGATTCTGGTGCAATTTGAGGACTGCAGGTCTCCAGTTCCCTAACCCTTACCTGAGCCCAAACCTTATCTGAACCCAAGCTGCACTTCAGGAGAGATCAGGGAAGGATTACTCCTATTTTAAAGGCAAGAAACCAATCCACAAAGAATAGTTGAAAGGGGGCTCATCTCAGATAGCTCTAGGCATCTAAAGGGAAGACATATCTACCTGACTTTCTTACCTATACTGTGAAGAGAAAATGGCATCTCAGTGCATGATTTATCCAACTTACTGTGAACATTGGCCTCAAGGTGAGCTGCATTCTACTCTGGAAATGCTTATTTCTCTCTACTGGCTACAAAAAGAGCCTAGACACAGAAACTTTCTTGTTTTGATGTAGGGGTAGAAATCAGCTTCCTACATCTCTAATCTATGTTGTAATCTTAAAAACATCTATGTTGGCTATATGTTAAAATATAAGCAAAATTTTTAGTTCTATTCTTCACTGTGAGACACCGTGGGCTGTATTTAGATAGAACTCCCCAATATGAGGTTTCCTATTGACTGTCTGATAAGGAGGCCAAACTACATCCAAAATTTCAGTGGAATGTAAGGTTCTTTAATGTATTTATTACCGGGAGGATACTCACAGATGTGGCCCCATGTGGCATAGGTAAAGGGAGATGAACACGTAATCACTCTGCCTGACCAATATGATCTACCTTTGCCTTGACAGTTACTCAACAACTCACTATTGTTTTAAAAAAAAAGAAAGAAAAAGAAGAAATCCTTTGAATGAAATAAATGGCCCACTCGATGATTGGGCAATCAGTTGAATGTATTCAAGTAATCTTTATGAAATCAAGACTAAAAAGGCAGATTAGACAGTGGCAATGTACTGGGGAATAAAAACATAATTCTTGGCAATGAATGAAAATTATGCTGATGATGTGGGAATTTTAGGTTCAGCTCAAAGGCTGAATGAAAGTGGTGTGACCAGACTGGCAAAATCAAGTCTATAAAGCTTAAAGATAAAACATGTGTCA